GTTGTGTTGCAGCCCTGCAGCTGGAGTCCTGACAACTCTAAGCCGCTATGCCGGTGCCTGGACGCAAACTCGGGTCCTTTGGAAGAGCAGCCGGTACTCGTAACCACGGAGCCATCTCTCTATCGCTTGCACTAGTTCCGCAGAGGCAGATCCAAGATATGGCGGGGTGTGCACGGAGTCTCAGAGAAATGTTGCCAACAGAAGGGCTCTCAATCCAGCAGCAGGGACCAGGCCACGGGCAGAGATGCCGAGAAACAGAGAGGAGCCTTGGCCTCTTGGCTGTGGAGCAAGGCTGCTGTGAGGGTGGGCCAGGGGGACGTGAACCAGGTCTGCACAGGGCTCTCTGCCCTCCCAGAGTTGTTCCCAGGTTCTTCTTGGTCTGTATGGCTCACCTTGGCTACCAGGCCTTATGTCCACCTTCCCTAGGTTACCGAGACCTAGGGGACTCTGTGTCCATTCTTTAGTGTGAGAAGCAGGCAGGAAAGGAACACGGTGTTCTGGATTGGCTTACAGCAGTCATGCGCTGTTCTTGGAGGCCACCGTTCTGAGCTCTTCACTTGAGTTTTCTTATCACAAATATGCATCATGCCGACACATTACCATCTCCCACGAGGAAGTCTTGGCTGCTCTCCTGAGCTCTCCCTGTGTTTCACAAGAGACACAAAGCGCCTGTGGAGGCCAGACAGTGGCAGGTGTGGCAACAGGGACTCCAGGTTAAGAAGCGTCACAGGAGGGCAGGTTGGGGCTAAGACTAACAGATCAGGAAAGCATCAAAATAGAGTCACTCACCCTGACACTCCACATCAGCATCCTGAGGCTAACCTGTTTACCTGATAGGGTTAGAGCAGAGACTGCCATGTCTTTGCTTTTCTTTAGGTCTTTTTGTTTCTTTCCTCCCTGCCTGCCCTGCTTCCTCTTTCTTTTCTCTCCTGTCTCCCCTCCTTCTCTTCCTTCAACAATTTTATCTTTCATGTGTGTAAGTGTGTTGCCCACCAGTATAACATATGAACTACATGCATGCCTGGTGCCCATGGAGGTCAGAAGAAGGTGCCAGAGTGTTGGAGTTTCTGGAACTGGAGTTATGGGTGGTTGTGAGCCATCATATGGGAGCTGGAATTGACCTCAAGTCCTCTGCAAAGCAACAAGTGCCTTTAACCACTGGTCCATCTCTCTAGTGCTCCCTGAACTTGGTTTTAAACAGGGTCTATGTAACATAGGTCTATGTTGGCCTGAAACTTCTGACTTATTAAAGGAGTGCACCACCACTGCCCAGTCAATTTTATTTATTTTTATTTTGTATGTTTTCATGCTTTGCTTAGATGTATGACTGTGAACAACATGTTTGGGTAGTGTCTTCAAAGGTAAGGGTGTGTGTCAGATTCCCTAGGACTGGAGTCACAGAAGGCTGTGAGCCATGTGGGTACTGGGAATTGAACATAGGTCTTCTGGAAGAGAAGTCCACACTTTCATTTATTTATTTATTTATTATTAGTACTTATTATTGGTTTTTCAAGACAGTTTTCCAGGGTCCCTGACTGTCCTGGAACTCACTCTGCAAACCAGGTTGACTCTCAAACTCAGAGATCCGCCTGCCTCTGCCTCCCAAAGTGCTAGGATCAAAGGCGTGGGCCACTGTGCCTGACTAGAGCCGTTACTCTTAACCGCTGAGTCATCTCGCTAGCCCTCCAGGCAGGCCAGTTTCAATTGGCTTTGACAGCGAGGCTGCTGTTTGGGCCTATGAGGCTGTCCAGTGAGTAGACAGAGGCCAGCCTGGCTGCTGAGTGTGCTGCTTCCCAAAAACTTCTGGGATTAGCCTATAGATGGTTTTGACTCATTAAGTGCTAATGTTCAAAAGTGAACATTTTAATTTAATTAAGTTTTTAAGTTTTAAAAAAAGGTTTATTTGTATAGATATTCTTTCCTGCGTGTTAAGTATGTGCACTGGACGTACGTCCGGTCAGAAAAGGGTGTGGGATGCCCTGGAACTGAAGTTCTGGATGGTTGTGAGCAGCGGCGTGAGTGTTGGGAATCAAATCCAGGTCTCCCACTCCCCCGCTTCTTTTGCTTTGTGGTGGGTGCACAATTGTCTTAGCAAGCATATGAAGGTTAGAGGTCAATTTGTGGTAGTTCTTTTCTTACCAAGTCCCAGGGACCAGATTCTAGTTGGTAGGTTTGGCAGCAAGCACCTTTATCCACTAAGTCATCTTGTGAACGTGTTACATTATTTTAGTTAGTTTTTTTTTTCCTCTGAGTCAGGGTTTTTCTGTGTAGCCCTGGCTGCCCTAAAACTTGCTCTGCAGACCAGGCTGGTTTCAAACTCAGAGAGATCCACCTGCCTCTGCCTCCTGAGTGCTGGATTACAGTATCCTATTTTTTATTTTATTTTATTGGTGTTTTGCCTGTGTGTCTGTGCTGGTTTCCTGGAGTTACAGACAGTGGTGAGCTGCCATGTGGGTACCGGGAATTGAACCTGGGTCCCCTGGAAGAGCAGTCAGTGCTCTTAACGGCTGAGCCATCTTTCCAGCCTCAATATCTTAATTTTATTTTGAGATAGGACCTTTCTGTTATGTAGCTCTGGCTGTTCTGGAACTCCATATGTAAACCAGGCTGGCCTCAAACTATCGAGAGCCACCCACCTCAGTCTCCCAAGTGCTGGGATTAAAGGTGTGTGCCATCACACCTTGCTAAGGGTTCCTAATGTTTTGAGACCAGGTCTCTCACTGAATCTGGAGCATCCTGTTTCAGCTAGACTGGCTTGCCAGTACGCCCAAGATCTGCCATGACAGGTACATGTTGCCCCGCTTGGCTGATGTGGGTGCTGGTATCTGAATTCAGGTCCTCATGTTTGATCTGCAAGCACGTTTACCCACAAAAGTCCCAGAAAGAACTGTTTTACAACTGGCACACACCTCTAATCCCAGCACTCCAGGGCAGGCAGGTGGATCTCTGAGTTCAAGGCCAGCATGGTCTACAGGGCGAGTTCCAGGATGGCCAGGGCTTCACAGAGAAGAAAAACAAACAAAAGAACTGTTTTGTTTTTGTTCTCAACGTGAACATTTTAAAGAAATGTCTAGTTTCTCTAGAAACAGAAGCTTATTGGGTTCACAGAGCCAGGGAGGAGCCACTGTGAGTGTGCCCAGGTCCAGCCCAGTGCCCTCTTGCTGCCTGCTCCCCTCTCCCCCACTCTCCTTCCCTGCTGGAAACACTCAGGCCTGGAGTGCTCTCCTGGTGAGGCCTGAGGTGGAGGGCCTGGGACAGGGTAGCTCCAGGATCAGGCCAGACAAGGAGCAGTTGTTGAGTTCTTTTTGTTTGGTGATAGAGTGTGGTCACTGTCACTGTTAGTGTCTGCACAGATGCTGAGCTGTGTAAGTAGGATTTAAGAAATGGCTTTGAACTACAGGGCATTTTATCTTAATAATTCAAACCACAAACCATCTTTTTTTTTCTTCTGCCTTTAGACTCAAGAATGTAGCCCAGGCTAGTTTTGAATTCACTACGTAGTTCAGGCTGGCCTTGAATTCATAATGAGCCTCTTCCCTCAGCCTACCAAGGGCAAGAATTATAGGCCTGTTCCATGAGAATGAGCTAAAAAAAAATTCACAGCATTTTAAAGAAATAAACCAAACCCACCATTGCGCTGCATGTCTAGCCCTTAGTTTGATGAGAGAAGCAGACCAACTGCCGGAGCCCGCGCTGACCGGGGAGGGGCTGAGCTAGTCCCAACTAGTACCCACATTCCTCAGGCGCTTCCACGCCCATGACCCTCTGGCCGTTGGACAACCTTAGCCCTCCTGCTACACCACCCTTCCCGCCCAGTTCTGGTTGGGTCTGTGTTTTCTGGAGCTTGGGAGATCTGCGTGCAGTCAGAAGCATTGGGCAGCTATCCGGTGACTGTGATTTGGACTCAGTTTCTACTTGAAAATGGGGACATGGTACCTGCACACCCTGCACACCTCAAACCAAGAACTTGCCTGTTTCCTGAGGGTCAGGCCACTCCCTCCTGGAACTCCCTGAATCCCTGGTTCCTGCAGGCACGGACCTTCGGCCCTGCATCTAGCCTCCCATCGCCTGTCCCTTTCCTATTAGAAAGTCCCTGTCTAGAGCACCTGTCTACCTCCCCAATTGCCCTCTGTGGAAAGGTCACAAATCCACATTAAATCCAACCATGAAGCTTCATCACTGCTGAGAGGGGCGGTGCCCACCTTTAATCTCATCACTCTGGAGGCAGAGGCAGGTTGATTTTTTAGTGAATTCAAGGCCAGCCTGGACTACCTTGTGCATGGTTCCGGGTCAGTCAGTGCTATGAAGTCATACCCTATCTTAAAAGCAAGCAAACAAAAAACTAAACCAGCAACAAACTGAACAACAACAAAACAAGTGATTGCTAATTAAGGAGTTGGAAGCAGGAGGATCAGAAGTTCAAAGTCATTTTAAGCTACACAGAGTCTGAAGCAAGCCTGAACTACAGGAAACTCTGTTTTAAAAACAAAACAAACTGCCAGGCGGTTGTGACGCATGCCTGTGATCCCAGCACTCGGGAGGCAGAGGCAGAGGTAGGCGGATCTCTGTGAGTTTGAGGCCAGCCCAGACTATGGAGTGATTTCCAAGATAGGCTCCAAAGCTACAGAGAAACCCTGTCTTGAACCCCACCCCCAAATCCACCCCCCCAAAATTGTAAACTAAAACCAAAAATGAAGTATCAATTTTCATTTATCAGACTGAGAAACAGACCTGGGACAAAGTCCAGGGCACTGGGGTGGGGAGGGCTGCTTTCCACCCTGCAGGCAGCAGCAGGCACAGGGCCAGGTTTTTTTAGAACAGTTTGGTAACATTTCAAACCACTCACACCTTTGACCCAGCTATTTCCCGTCTAGATAATTGTCCAACCGTGGGCTCCCACGAGCACAAGGACACACACAGCACCACTGCATCTAGTGTGGAAGACGACGCGGGGGGACTGTGAGACATCGCAGCGCGATGGACCACCCAAAAGATCTGTAGCCCGTGTACTGTGAAAAGATCTTCAGAGACAATAAAGAAGCAAGCTGCCTAGGGCTACGTGTTGTAGGAAGGAAAAGGGCAAAGGTGTGTGTTTAAGGATAGTGCACCTGGCCCTGGCAGCTGGGTAGGTGGAAGGGAACTAGGCAGTGGGCGATTGGAGTCAGGCAGAGGAGGCTGGTGCTCCAGCTGAGGCCTGCACAGGTTGTTTTTCGACTCAAGGAGGTGGAAGGCATAACACAGTTGTCACTGGAGCCCCTCTCCTCTGGGGAGGCAATCTGTCCTTTGGCATGTCTGCCACTTGCACACCTGGGTCAGACACCAGGGAGGCTGGACTGTACTAATTCCTGGGGAAAACATTTGGGGGCACCAATAGTTGCTCTGCAGTAAGGCAGACTGCCTTAGAACTGAGCTTTGGGAACAGGTCCTCCAGATGGGGGAGGTTTTCTGAAGCCTCTGGCTGGGACCTGTGATCTTCAGAGGTATCTGGCCAGGTGAACAGATGGAGCAGCTGTTTTGGCCTTTGTTGGGATGCATAAGGAACCCTTTCAGTTTGATCTTTATGCTTATTTTTGGTGCTGCTGATAACCCAGGGCCTTGGAAATACCAGGCAAGTCTCTGCCAATGGGCTAGTCTTCTCTGAAAGACTGTCCCACAGTGTTGCCCAGGCTGAAGTAGAATCCCCATCTCAGAACTGTGAACAAGTTCTGCTCTGGTTTTTCCTTCTTGTGTTAGTGTCTGCTATCCCCAGTGTGCGTGTGCGTGCATGTGTGTGTATGTGTGTGTGTGTGCGTGTGTGCTGGGGATGAACCTAGAGCCTTGCACAGGGGAGGGGAGCCTCTGTCACCGCTATGCCGTAACCTTGCATCATCTGTCTTATGCTTAATGTGTGGAAGGCTGCAGCAGGCTGACTCCCTTCCCCAGGCATTTCATTGCAGTGGAACTTGAAAATCCACTTGTTTGGCTTTGAGAGAAAGTCTGTCCATATTTCAGTTAGGATTACACTAAAGGTTTCTTCACTTTGGGGAACACCGTTGCCCTGATCATATTTAATACTTTCATCTAGGAAGTACATGTATTTTTAAAGCCTTTTCTTTTTCATTTTTCTTCCCTGAACAGGGTCTTGCTATGTACTCAGTCTGTCTTGAAATATTTTATTCTCCTGCTCCAGGCTACTGGAGTTATAGGCGGCACCACTATGAGGGGTAAGCCTTCGCTGGCGGGAGGTGTGCTGGGGATGCGCGGAGAACTTCCTGCATGTCAGGCTAGGGCTCTACCATCAAGCGTGGCCCAGCCCCAAGCTTTGCGGTGTCCACGTCAGCCATCAGTCTTCCTTCCTGAAATTCTCTCTGTCATCCCTCCCCATACCAGGCTGCAGCCCTCCGTCAACCCTCTATCCTGCATACTGGCTGCTTGATATTAGGAGTCCAGCATCCAGTGCAAAGTCTCAGGTGTCTCCACCCTTAGGGTCGTTCTGAAGAGAGAGAAGGGACTCAATATAAATATGAGAAAGAACAAGGCCTGGGGAGGGGTAAGGTTGACTTGTTGGGTCGGTCTGGGGAGGAGGCAGGTGCTAGGGAGACGGGGTGGGCATGAGGGATTCCAGCAGTGGGAATGCCGACTTGTGTCTGCAGGTGGGTGCTGGACTCCTGGGCTAAGCAGTAACACAGGAGCAGGAGAATGGGACCCAGGCATTGGGCCAGCACTGCTCAGGCAGCCTTAAGGCTTTTGTAAGAGTGAAGGTGAGAGAGGAAAGCTGGCTTGCAGGTGGGTAGGTGTGTGCGGTGGGATAGACGTCAGGGTGTGTGTAGGGGGGATAGACGTCAGGGTGTGTGTAGGGGGGATAGACGTCAGGGTGTGTGTAGGG